ATACAGTGAGACCCCGCCTCAAAAGCCCCAAAACATAATACAATAAAATATAAAATAAAAAAATCATGATTTTCAAAAATATTGGGTAGCAAGGCATTATGGGTTGAATCTGAAACGTCTCTTATAGACTAATATTTTGAGACCTTGCCCCCTAGCTAGTGGCATAAAGTAGTAACTTCTGGAGTTGGGAACAACCTAGAGGAAGTACATTACTGGTGGCATATTGTTAGAAGTCATATTTTGCCCTGGTTACTTCCTGTATTTTGTCTTTACTTCCTGTTGGTATTAGGCAAATAGCCTCACAAACAGTGAAGTTCCTTGCCACAGGCCCAGAAACAGTGCCAAATGACTGTGAGCTGAACCCTCTGAAACCATATGCAAAACAAATCCTTCTTCCCTTTGCAATATTATGGCAGGCATTTTGTCACAGTGATGGGAGAGCTGACTAACACAGATGACTATGGATCCACGGACATGGGCCTGTTTTGTTTTGTTTTTGAGACAGGGTCTCACTACTTTTTCTGGCTATCCTGGAACTCACTTTGTAGACATAGCTGGCCTTGTCTTACAGAGGTGGAACTCACAGAGATCTATCTGCCTCTGCCTCTCTAAGTGCTGGGATTAAAGACAGGAGCCACCATACCCAGCTTAGCCTTACTGTTTTCTTTTCCCTCTCTCTCCCTCATTCCTGGGAATACCAGGGCATTCTTGCTAGTTTATTGTCACTCCAAGCTCCTTGCCTCTGTCCTTTTCTGAAAACTACATGGCTTCCTTCACTCTACTCAGGCTTTGGCACAAATGCCACTTTTCAATAAAGGACTTACTTCCTTTAGATCCTTCACTGTATACCTTATTCTGTTTTTTCAATATTAACTGCCTTATCTCATCTAAATGAATATCTATCTATTTATTAATTTTCTGAGATCTCCCAAAAGACTTAAAAGACTCTAAGGGACCAGTTCCCCATTTTGGCAGCCATAACAGCTTGTCTGACCTTGTCTTAGTCACTAAGGTTAGATGCCTGCCCCTGTCGGCAGCCATAAGAGCTGAACACGTGCTTGTCTGACCTTGTCCTAGTCACTAGAAAGTCAAATCCCTGCCTCATGGCAAGGAACCAATGAGAAGTTAGCTGGCGGCGCTATGCTTTACGGATGTGCTTTATGGACAAATGCACAGCAATGACGCAGAGCATAGCAACCACCTTGGGAAGGCCTATGGGCCATAACAACCAATTGGCCAATCAACACAGGGCAATCCCTCCAAGCCTGGAGGCACACCAATCCTGAGCCTGTGCGTACCCCTAGACACTCCCCTTACGCTGCCCTACAAGATCTCTCTGCAGCTGGTTCGAGCTGTCTTTGCTAGCCATCTGCTATGGCCAGTGGGTGAAAGACCCGAGCTAACATGGGGTTAGCTCGTTAAACAACAATAAATGCAGTTTGCAGCAAGCTTTTGAATCCACCTGGTGATTGGGGTGACTGTGGTCCTGGGCTGGGACGCCGGAGGCCTGAGTTTCCCGAGGGTCTAACAACTCCTAGGTAGTAGTATGTGTTTGTGGTGCACCTGCCATACTATAAAGGCACTATCTAACACTGTGAAATAACTTATAGATAGTATTTATTGAAGTATAATATCTTCACATTTAATATGTTTCAAAAACATCAATGCTGTTTTTATATGGGAGAAACTGCTATGTGAAAGATGTTTGTGATGACTGATGTCAGTTTGACAAAGTCTAGAACCACCTAGGAGACAAACCTTCTGCTCTTCTGTGAGGGTCTTCCAGAGATGTGTAACTGAAGAGAGGAGGCCTACCCTAAGTGTAGGTTGCACTATCCTATGATCTGGAGGGGGTACTTGTAACAATAAGTCTTTACCCCAACCACCCAAGCCCTGCCACCATGTGGGCGCTTTCCACCACGGCGCCTGAGTTTAGCCCGCTGCCAAGTTAAGGTCCCAAGTAGCCTGTCCTTAGACTTAAATTTTGAAGTCAAAGCACTTTTAGAATGTATAAGTTGGATTAATTTAGCAGCATTGATAATCAAATGTCTGTTAGCAGTTGTTGCTCTTTCCTCGGTAATCAAAAGTTTAAAGACAACAATATAGCATATAGTATCCAGACTCTCTGTGTATTTTCCATCTTTATGTGGCTTTTTATTATTCTATTCCTTTTACTTTTATAATTTCCTTTTATGAGATAGGGTTTCTCTGTGTAACTTTGGCTGCCCTTGAGTTCACACCGTACACCAGGCTGGCCTTGAAGTCACAGAGATCTGCTTGTATCTGCCTCCTGAATGCTGGGATTAAAGGCTTGTGCCACCACACCCAGCTACTCTATTTCCTCCTGTTTTTTTTTTTTTCCCCACAAACCTACAAACATATATTTTTAAGCACAGTATAAACCTTTAGAGGTTTTTCTTCATCTGAATCTGTCTTTACTGTAAATCTTTACCTTTTTCTGGCCACATAATCTTTAAACTATTAAACAACACCACCAAAAATAAAGTGATTGCTTTCTTAGCCACCGTCTTTCTAAGATGGCAGAGGTATGTTCACTGCCAGCAGTGAGAGCTGTGCTCACTGCTTTGGTCTATGCTGCTATCAAGCAAGGATACTGCCGGCTTGGAGATGTGGTCACTGCCACTGCCAGCTGCATGGGGCACAAACCCACAACCCTGAGATTAAGAATCTCATGCTCGAGAAGGGAAGAAAAGGAAGGATGCAGAGGTCATGAGGGAGCAGAAAGCTTGAGTCAGGGGTAAATTAGAAGAAAGGATATGTGATAGGTAGGGTTTTAGCTGGGGGAGTGGTAGGGGAGGAAGGGAGGGAGAAGGGAACTGGGATTGTCATGTAATTCAATTTTGTTTTTAATTAAAAAAAAAAAAAGAAAAAAAAAAAAAAAAATCTCAGCCCCCCCCACAGGAGTCAGCCAAGCCTCTTGAAAAGAGTCTTGTGTTTTTCTGTTTTTGTTTTTTTTGCTCCCCCCCCCCCCCGCCCCCAGCTTTGCTAAGTCAGGAAACCTCTTTTAACGGAACTGCTCAAGTCTCTGCTTGTCTCTAGCAAAACAGAGCCCACCTGAGAAAGTGCTGCTACCAAGAAGTCGTGCTTGTCTCTGTTGCTTTGCTGCAAAAATCCCTTTTTAAGCTTTTCTGAAGTTTACATGCAAGTTCGTAACATTACCGCCAGCTGCCTGGGTTCTGCTGCTGCTTGACTAGTCACAGGAAGGCAGCTTGTGGCGCCTGGCAGGTTCCCTGCTTCCTCTGGGAACCTTGGGGTGTGGGATGATTCCACTCACTGACACCATTCTAGTTAGTTGGCCAAGGAGCATTTGAACCTAATATAAGTCTCTGTGTGTTCTTCTGGGCGCCCACATGGCAGTGGGGTTTGGGTGGCTTCAGTGGAAAGAGTTATCGTTACAGAGGTACTAAATAAGAAAGAGAAAGTGAGCTGAGTACCAGCATTCATCCTTTGCTTCAGACTGTAGATTCAATGTGACCAGCAACCTTAAGCTCCTGAAGCTATGGCTTCCCAACTATAATGGACTTGTACCCTTGAACTGTGAGCAAAAAAAAAAAAACTCAATTGTTTTTGTCTGAGTAAGAAAAGTAGTTAATGTAGGGTCATTAAAGGATTTATTCAGATAAATTTGTGGATCAAATTAAATCTATAATTTCTTGAAAAATTAAACTGTCAAGTTGATTTTTGGGAATACTACTCATTGCATAAAATGAAGCTCACACACAGTAATGTTGTATTTTTAAAATACTTGAAAGAGTTAAATCACTATATAGTCTGTTTGGAGATTTTTAGCATATTAGGGTTAAATATAGGAGATTCTTATAAATATTGCTTTGGTTTCTTCTCTCAAAACTAAGCTGGTATAATGTTTTACATATACAATATCTTATAAGACCCAAGGGCTATTTTTTTCCCCTGCAGTTTTACATGTTCAAAGGGCATGCTTTATTGCTTCTTGAAATCTGAATTCTTGAGAAAGCTGGTCAGTAATATGCTGTAGCTTTCATTTCCTGTTTTTCTATAAGAAAACCTTGCAGAATTACAATAAAGTTCTGTAATTATTTATCTAATCATCTGGGCACAGATGATAGAATGTTATGGAATTTTCTAAGTTATAAGCAAGATTGTACAAGCCGACTCCCTCATAGGTTAGAGGAGAGGAGATTATGTATTGAGGCCCAGAAAATTCAGAGAAGAAAGCCAATATTCTTTTTAAAAATAAAACAAATTGGGCCGGGTGTTGGTGGCGCACGCCTTTAATCCCAGCACTCAGGAGGCAGAGGCAGGCAGATCTCTGTGAGTTCGAGGCCAGCTTGGTCTCCAGAGTGAGTGCCAGGATAGGCTCCAAAGCTACACAGAGAAACCCTGTCTCGAAAAACCAAACCAACCAACCAAACAAACAAATTATGGTATCTAAGAAACCATATCAAGACTTTCTTGTACAAAAAAGAAAAAAAAAATGGTACTAGCCCTTGTATAAGGCAACAAAACTTCCAGGGAAAAAGACAATTACAAACCCCAGAATGTGACCATAAATGTCCTTTACTACACCAAGAATTTTAACTCAAAGGTATAGGATGGAGTTGGTTCGAAATTCAACACCAAAAAGATCAGAGTTTGAGAATCAGCAGAAAATGGCCTTTTTCCCTTTTAAGAGAATAGGACACAAAAGCAGGACTGTGAGTCTGAAGGTCACTGTAGTTAATACGAAAGTATCAGATGAACAAAAAGAAACTTTTGTAAAACTAAGGCGAGCATGTAAACTCTCATTGAAAACTTTTCTCATTTTTTCTTTGGAAAATGAAACACATACATTCAAATTCTTTTTAAGAAGTAGGAACTATAGTAAGTCAGAGTCCCTGTGAAGTTCTCCTGGTTTTATCCTGGGCACATGGGGTCCCAACATTTGCTCTGGGTACATGAAGACTTGCATGAACACTAGTCTTACGTCATGTGCAGGAAGAGTAAGGCCTTCCACTTACCGGGACTTGTGAGGGCTCCCAGGGCACTGCTTGTGGTAGAGAGAGGGTTTGCATTGGTGCTTGTGGCTGAGGTTTGGGCGGCAGCTGCAGCAGCAGCCAGTGTTGCCAGATTCTGTAATTGTAAAGCATTCATGCCTGTAGGGGAAAGAAAAAAGTGATGTCAGCCACAGGCCCAAATTTTCCTGTTTCTAAATTGAAATTGACTATAATTCGCGTGCATGCATGCATGCACGCACACACACACACACACACACATACACACACACACACACATACACATACACACACACATACACACACACAAATCCCTGCACTTGTCCCTGTGATTTTGTACTCAGAGTTGCCTTAGGGATATGTGTGATTACACCACTTGACTAGGAACTGGGATCTGTTTCTCAGAGGACACCTCCTTTGAGTTTTAATGATATCATCTTCCATTCCTTGTGATAGAATGCTAAGAAGGGGTACCCGCTTTATATCCAGTACTTCTAAGCAGACTCAGCTCAGTGGGGCACTATCTATCCTAACTTAGGACTGTCTTCTCTCAATGCTGTAGAAGTTCATAGAGTATTCTATATTGACTGGACGGGACAGGGTAATAGGGACTGGCAACTTTTATTTATGACTTAGCTGTCATGAAGATGGTGAGAGCTGGGTGTAGGTGGCTACAGAACAAGCACAGAGTGGGGGGTTACTGCATTTCTTAATTTGACAGGTACACAGATATTACAGAGGAATTAAAGTTCATTGCTTAAATGGTCCTGCTCTGAAACTGAACTGACACAGGTTCTAATCTTGGCTTTGTCATTTTTTTCCAGATACGTGGATGTAGGCAAATTACTCAGCCTCTTCATTTTTGGGGGCCAGGCTAATTGTACCTGAATGTAGAGAGCTATGCAAATAAATATAATGAATGCAAATTACTCTAGCATGATCTTAAGTACTCAATGAATGTTAGTGATGAATGTCTCCAGATTTATCATGTCTCCACAGTAGGAGCTCAGTATAAGATGGACAAAAATTGGCAGTACCTTAAATCACTGTAAGTGTAGCCTGATGACCTGAGGTTTTCATCCTCAGGACCTAAATGGTGGAAGGAGAAAACCATCTCTGGCAAGTGGTCATCTGATCTACACAAGTATATGGTGGTAGACAGACAGACAGACAGACACATACATGTTAAACTTACAGCCAACAATTTTTTAAATTAATTTATATTTAAATTAACAACAATCTTATTTTACATACCAAATCCAGTTCTCTCTCCCTCCCAACCTCCCATTCCCCCCTCATCACCCCCATCACACACCCCATGCACTTCTCAGGGAGGGTGAGGCATCCCATGGGGGAATCATCAAAGTCTGTCACATTATTTGGGGCAGGACTTAGACCCTCCCCCATGTTTCTAGGCTAAGAGAGAATCCCTCCATAGGGAATGGGCTCCCAAAGTCCATTTGTACACTAGGCATAAATACTGGTTCCACTACCAGAGGCCCCATAGACTGCCCAGGCCTCCCAACTGACACCCATGTTCAGGGGGCCTGGTTCGGTCTTATGCAGGTTCCCCAGCTGTTAGTCTGCAGCCCATGAACTCAGTCAACATATTTTTAACTAGAATGAATTTCTGATTAGTAAAAGTTAAGAAACAAAATGCAAATGAAAATGTGCAAGAGTGTAGTAGGATGGGCTGAGATTGGGCTCTGGCCTGCTGCCTTTGCTATTTAAACTTTCAACTTTTCTCCCTCACTCCTTCTATTTCTTAATCAACGGCTTCTCTAAATACCTGAGGTACTTTCCCCCATTATTCTCCTCCCAATAACTAAAAGTAACCATGTTTCTCTTTGTTATATAGAAAGAGATTGGAGTCAAATAATCAGCTTAATTTTACCTTCTCATGACTCAAATCCAGATACTCAAAAACTATCTCTTCAACAAATTTGATTTGTTTAAGAAGAGTGGCCTGATAAAGGTCCATATGTGCCGGGGGAAGGAAGATAGTTTTTCTAGGGACATTCCTAAGCAGACTTGCAGCCAGCAGTGCATGGCTGGCTGAGTGCATGAATAAGGGGTTGGCTGCTAAGCCCTAGAAATCGCAGTGCTTTGGTGCTCTTTTCTTGGGGTACTGGTTTGAAAAGAAGTTCCTGAGGGTTTTGCTGTAAAATGAGTTCTCAGTATGCCCCAAGTCACATCCTGCCTTCCTCCAGGAGCCATTGAACTTACTGTGTTTTGGTAAAGTCCAAAGAGCCACCTACTTCTTTGGCGACAATGCATAGAAGCAGGATATAGAATTGGTGAAATCTAATGATCAAATGTCTCTGGGAGTAAAGCTCTCTCTTTGTCTCTCTGGTAATGGTCAAACAGTGGCATATTTATTAGAAGCACTATGGGTATGAAGAAACACTTGGCTAAATTTTCAGTTTCACTTCAGCAAATTGGAAGTGGAAGAAGTGTGGGAGCTGCCTGGCTTTAGTGGAGACCTACTCAGACCAAATAAAGGCTGTTATTTCTTGAAAGCTACATGAACACACTTCATACTCAAGTGTGACAAGAGCATCTGGACTGTGAGTGAGGCCCACTGCACAGATTCATCTGTTCCCTTGATTACTAACGGTCCCTTTAATGTTCTAATGATGTGAACCAGATGACCATACTCTATCACCAACAGACAGTTGGGCGTATAAGAAGATGATTTAACACTGAAATTAAACCAATTCAAAACAGACAGTTATTATAGACTCAGGTCAGAGGGTCAAACAGTTTTTTATCCATCAACCAATAAGAGAAACATACATGTAGAAGGACATCTTCCATCACCAGGCCCCCTATTTATAGCCATGGTCCCTACATTTTCAGTTTCTCAATACAGTACTGGCAAGAATATCCCATCCTTTACCCATATCTTCTATTTCTAGTGCCTGGAATGCACAAGATTCTACGTTGGTGACAACAATCACAATTTACCAGAAGCAGTAGCCTGGTGAAGAAGTGTGCAGGCTCTCTTTTGAGATGGCCTGGATGTAAATAAACTCAGCACTGTCACCTTTTCTAAATCTAGCTATCTAGAGTAAACTGGCTAACTGCTGTGCCTTGAGATCCCCAACTAGAGTCTAATTCAAATAGAATCTACTTTCTGACAATCAGTATGTGAACCAGACCAAAGAACATGACCTTGGACAGAGCTGGGTTCAAATAGTAAGTTCTCTTAACTTCAACTAGCAATAGCAATATTATATCAAGTAAAGATCATAAGAATGACAAACAGCATATCACTAGTGACAGGTTTGGGCTCTTTCTGCCACAAATGAGTACCTGGTCAGGGTGTTCTCACTCAAAAGTAAACATCTCATTTACCATTCCCCTTTTCTTCCTTAGGGTCAGCTGTTTGGAGGAAAAATAATAGCTCCACAGAAGAAATTGGGTGGGGCAGGCTCTCAGAGTTTTTCTGCTGCCTAACATCACTAGACTTTCCTAGAGCAGTAGATTACCTTCTGCCTTAAGCTGCTTCCCACCCAAAGCTGTTCTGAGGGATTACAACATTTCTCCTTTCCTTCATTAACTCTGCTGTCTTCTCCCTAGGCCCAAGACAGGCAAGACAGTCTTGCATGGTCTTTGCATTGTCCAGTCATTTGGAATTCCCACTTTGGTTCCTTTCACTTCTTCAAAGGTGTATGTGTGGGCAGGGAGTGCTCTCTGTCTTTCCTTCTTTCCCAGTTCCTGAAGCAGGCCCATCTTCCCACCCTCTCATACTTTCTCTTTCACTATGAAAGGGCACCAGACAGGAAGGCGCCTGTCACCCTTCTTGGAAGCTGGTTCTGGCTTGGCAAACAGCTTTTCTGAGAAGAAAAATGGCCACTTTTAACTTCTGCTCAGCTGGGCACCTCTCAAACCAAGGTTAATAATCTAGGTGGCTAAACACATGAAACACTTAAGTTTTAGGAAATCTAAAAGTGAGCTACTATGATGATGGCAAAAATAAAAGAGGAGTAAGGAGATTCAAGTTTTCACTCATTGTTTTATAAGAAAATTCCTTAAAAATGAAGAAATTATGTATGAAACATACATAATATTCCTAATTGAAATTTAAGATAAAAATTATTTATAAGGAAAAGGGCATGAAAATTTAATTTAATGTTCACCTTAGGTAATTTTGTGTCTTATTGTTCATGGCAATTACCATAAATCTGCATATCAATAAGTGAGAACAGATGTCAGTTGTTACAAGTGCTTGCCAATCAGGTCTGTTAAAAAGTGACAGATGGGTGGTTATAGAACATTCTCCTAAGGCCTATTAGCACATTCACAGGAAGTGTCTGTGGTATGGACTGTTGGAGACTCAGGGAAGAACACAGGGTCTTTGTGGGCTTATGAGCACACTTCATGCTGGGAGCTGCTCCAACTGGAGCTTCTCAGATTGCCCAGACACTGTTTTTGCAAACCCTCTTCCCTACTTGTGAAAGACACTTTCAGACAACCTTCTCAGAGACTGGATTTTAAATTCACAAAAGGAGAGAAATACTTTGTGGTTTTAAGCAAATGCTTCACTTTACACTTTATTATTTCTTTCAAAATTTAGAGCAGACTTCTAGAAGCTTAATCAGATTTAAAAGGAAGCAGTTCCACTCTAGTCCTCAGCAGATAATTTCTCTTCACCCATAGCTTCAGACCTCTTGGATTTTCTGATTCTAAGAGTGGGTAGGACAGAGTTCACTCAGTAGAACACTTGCTTATCATGTACAAACTCTGGGTTCCATACCAAGCACCACAAAAATTGGTTGTGGTGGTGCAAACCTGCAATACTAGCACTTTAGAGGCTAGAGGCAGGAGGGTCATGAGTTCAAGGTCATTCTTTGTCACATTATTGAGTTTGAGGCTAGTGTGGGCTATAGGAGAGCCTGTTTTTAGAAAAAAAGAACTCACTCTCAGACAAAACTCATTTACATACACAGTCTACTCTTTATTACTGGAAACATTTTCCAGAATGAAGTGAGGCAGTTTACTGTTTGATCTGACCAGCTACTTCTTCAGCAGTTGTGGGGCTCTACCTTCAACTGGGTATTATTTGCCCATTGGGTCATCTGTGTAGGCACCTCACTGGAGCTTATGTTTATATAAATATACCTAGCCTGGCTGGGACACAGTGCTGTTTCATAAGCCTGATGGGGACAGGACGCTCAGGTTTTGGATCAGGCTGAAATGGTTTTGAAATATGGGTCTATACCCACTAGTTCAATGACTTGGCTTCTTCTAAGCCTCACTTGCCCACTTGTTAAATGGCATGCCTATTGGCATGCCATAAAATGGTATTTGAGAGGTCTGTATCCTAATCCATACCACTCCACTTAATGGTGCTACTGTTTCAATGTAACTTATTTAACTATTTCATACGTCTGCTTTTCCAATTTGCAATGTAGTAGAGAGGTGATTTTTGCTTTGGTATACTCTTAAAACTGCATAATATTACAAGGACCTAGGTTAAATGCAAATGTTGAAGTGTCACCTCCATTTTCTGATTAGATACTCTTTGGAGGTGCAAAGTGGCCACAAAGAAGTTAAAGATCAAAAGGGTACTTGGCCCTGGTTCTCTTTTCTTCACCTAGGATACATACTCTTAGGCCAGATACAGATCCTATGTTTCTCAAATTTCAAAAATTCACTGAACAAATACTAGAGGAGAGCTAAATATAAGTATGTTTTTATTAGAAATTTTAAAAGGGGAAATAAAATCAATTATCTTCAAGCACAGTAAGTATACATAAAAGAGTTTAGCCTATGAAGATTTAATCCTAGATCCATTTCTGCTTTAAAATTCCACATTTAATAAAGGTTCTGTTTTATATAAATTATAAAAGATTGTAGCTTCAAAGGAAAATGTTTAAGATTTTTTGAAGAAAACATAACTGATATATAGCTACAGTATAAAGCATAGTCATTATGCCACAAATAGGAGATACAGGCCAGATGCAGCTGGTTTGGGAAAGGAGCTTATATGAAATTATTCTTCAGAATGAGCATTATGATACCACTTGGGAGAGATTATATCATATCAAAGACAACATGATGGTGCCTTGAAGGGAGAAAGCCTTCTTTTAAAAGACCTGGAGTAGCTTCTTTAGGGGAGATAGCTTGAAGTGGTAGACGAGAGGAGAGCCACAAGAGAGAGGAGAGGTAGACACATGAGCATGATGAGGTTACTAAAGGAAAGCCTAGGAGGTGGGGGAAGTCCCACTTCACATGATTAAGTATGGTTAATGTATGTGCCAAGATGTAGACATCAGGTAGTACTTTAAACTTATCTTGCAGCAGCAAGAGGGAGGGGCTACAAGGATACTGTGTAGCATAGCTTTTTAACTGCCCTGAAAATAGATGCAGTGGTATGTGGCCTGCTTTCTGTGACTGAGAGAGAAAGGCAGATAGCTACAGGGTCTGTGGTCTAACATTCAGACTTTACTGATGCAATTACCTAGCAATGTGTCATCTAAAATTTATTTTTTTCTGTTTTCTTTTTGCCTTTTTTCTCTTCAAATGAAAAATGTTTTGCTCATATAAACAAATTGTTTTTTAAATCTCTGTCCCATGAAAAACTATTATGCTTTGAAAGCTGTTCATAGCCAAACGGTACTGGTTTCCAAAGTGTTTCACACTCTTTGGGAGTATGAGTTGTATGTATCCTCACATTTAGTATGTCAGACTATCAATCAATGAATATTTGAACTCCAGGTGGGACTGGGATTAAATAACTTCTTGGGTTACTTCTACCTTATTATGCTGTGGCTTCTACTATATTTGTCATATATAATGTGCTCTATAAGACATTTTATACTAGACAAATTCTCAGTAATGCATTTGTGAATGTGGTAACAATGGTTTTTATGGTTATTTCCAGTTTATATGTAAGGCTAAAGTTAAGTTTTATAAAAAAAAAAAAAAAAAAAAAAAAAAACAACTGGGCATTTAACTTGAGCTCTATTGGGAATGTATCCAAAACACAAATTTACATCTTTCAATTCACATATTTATTTTTACTCATCTATTCAGAAATAGCCTCTAGCACCTTTATAGGCCTAGGTGTACCCATAAGCCACTGGGGCAGGTCTTGCTCTCCAGGAATTCAGTGTGGCTTGGAGCACTGACCAGTTTGAGGTAATCAGGGATACTCTGGTGACGGAGGAACAACTTTAGGGAAGCTGGAGGAGTTAGCAAGTGTAGTGGTTTGAATGAGAATGACTCCTATAGGCTCATATATTTGAATGTTTGGTTCCCAGTTGGTGGACTGTTTATGAAGGGTGAGAAGGTATGTCATTGGGGATGGTCTTTAGTTTTCAAAAGTCCATGCCAGACCCAGTTGCATCTGTGTAGTGCTTATGAACCACATGTAAGTTGTCAGCTATTTCTCCAGTGCCATGCCATACCTCCCTGCCAACATGCCTCTTGTCATGATGATCATGGACTAATCCTCTGAAACTGTAAGCAAGTATCCAATTAAATGCTTTCTTTTAAGGTTGCCTCAGTCATAGTGTCTCTTCACAAAAACAGAACAGGCACTAAAACAGCAGCCATTAATGTCACCCATCTACCATGATCACCCCACAATGCTCCTGTAGGTAAATGACAAGTAAAAAAAAAGTAAGTCCTATCAAAGCTAAGTATTATTTTGGGGAAAAGACATTTCTTTACCTTATTGAGCAAATAAATACCCCAACCCACAAAGCTTTAAATACTTAGAAAGCTAAAACTTGATTATTCTCATGAGAAGTACTTTTCTAAAGCTACAAAAAAGAGGTGTGATATTTTAATACTTTAAATAGCTAATATAGTTGGTATATAATGGACTGTTCAGTATTTGATTTTACAGTCTGTGCAGACTTAGTGTGGTGAATTTAACATGGTGAAGGTTTAAGAAAAGGTATTTTGGAAACCCCAGAACATTTATACAATGTCTTTAAATTAACCATCTGTTTCATGACACCTTTTAGGGTGACTCCTAGATACCCTTGATTTTCAAAGGAGCACACAGAACATGTAAATGCTAATATCTTGACCTGTATCTGACATGGCAGAAGTACACACATCCTAATGAAAAATGGTAGGACACCCTGTCCACCTGGGAAGGCATACTGTGCAAGCCACAGGAATACATGACCTCTCTGCATTACACAGCTCTGAGAGTAGGGGGCCTGAAGCCTCCTGAGGAAAACCCCTAATTTTGAATATGGGTGGGTCTGTGCTACTAGAAGGAAAACAAAGCTTCCACCTGCTCAAAATGTGACAAATATTAGCATGTATTTAGCAGCTTGCAACAGGTTTTTTTTTTTTTTTTTCAATTTTCCTTTCAAAGAATACACACTCCCCTCAACATTTTACTACTATCTTTCTAGTTTCCTTCACAGGTTACAAATACATTAGCCATTCAATGTGATTCTTAGCTCCAAGGCCAGCTTCCTAACACATTTTCTTAAATACAATGCAATCATTAACTATTTGTCATTTTAAAATACATTTCTTGAATAATCTAAAAGCTGTGTTACAGGATCTGACTAACTTATACAACCTGGTGAGTTGCACTTACCCTGTGGACCACAAGAGACCACTAGGGTGTTATTTACAGAATATATATGAGGAGAAACCCTTCAGAATGCAAAACAATAACAAAAAACAACAAAACCAAACAACAAAATGTCTTTAAACTAGCCATCTGCTCCATGCCAACTAAAGGTATGCATTTGGAAAAAAAAACTTAAGTTGAAAAGAGGAGTTTCTGTAGTAACAAATAAACCTGGCCTTTATTTTACACAAGTGGATTTCATTTAGTTAATTGGGGGTGTCCCTAATTAAAGAAAGCTGCTTCCTTCCAACATGACCCCCCAATCTTTTCTTTGCCTCCCCTACTTTAGAATCAAACAAGGAAAGACTTTTTACTGCTCCTCCTGGCAGGTTAATGGGCACCTGTATTCTGATTTCCTGCACATACTATCTTCCTGGCCCTGAGCTAGGGTAGGATGTCAGCATGGAAGGTGGCCCAGCAGGACTGACCTTTCACTAATCACTGTGTTGCAGCAGCTACTGGCACAGCTCATTATGAAAAGGAATCCTTCAATAAGCTGCTTTTCAAATATAGTCACTTTGATTTTTCTGAGAACAAAGATTATACTTTTACATAAAAGCTTCTGATGCACAATTCTGTTAACTGGGCACTAAAGTAAAAAAGGCACTGTGTTAATTGTCTGTCATCAAGGGACTACAAACTGTATCAAATTTAGGCTGGAAATCTTGGCTTTTGTTATGGAGGTCAGAACATTCTTATTGATCACCTATTGTTAAAAATTTGAGAGATGTTAATCATTTCAGCTGCCCTTAGTTATAGGAATATCACTGGAAACCTCCCAATCACTAACCCAGTAACAACAACAACAACAAATCACACAAATAACTAAAGAATATATTCTGTCAAAAATTGCAGTTGCCTCATAATTGTTCTGCAAGGTGAAGTGTGAGCATGAAATGCAAAGGCAAGAAAAATATTTCAGAGCAGCTGATTCTAATTTTAATACCCAAGACACAAAAAGCTAGTTTACCTGGTACATACTCTTTACTCCTTTTCTTTGGTTCTTTCCCATTATCCTCGGAAACAACCAAAAATTCAGAAAATAGCATGGACAAAAGGACATGCTTCATGACTTACCAGCCATTTGCTGAATGCCACTGAATGCACCCAGGTTGCTGGAGGAGGTGGCCTGTTGCAGAAGCTACAAAAAACACAAGACCTCAGTCAGAACAATGTGGAGACAAAGCAACTTCCTCATTATACTGGCTTATTTTCCTTTACATTTATATGTTGGCTGCCACTCCCTGTTGATGGACTGAAGGGCCCCAGAGTTGGAGGTGTGAACTCATATTAATGTCTAATCTCTATTAAGAAACACAGACACTAGGGAGGCTCACTAACACTGCTGCCTTAAAACAATCAATCTACTCTTTTTAACAACCAGGTGCTAAATCTTTTGACACCAACAAAGCATGACTAATTATAACTCTCTGTAGTCTAGTAGTTACCATAACTCATCTCTGTCAATCAAGGTCTATTTCCTCCTCTTTTCTACTTTCCTTCCCAGCTCAGTTTTTCCTTTCTTCTTTATTAAGTAACATTAAAAATATTTATTCATTCATGTGTACAATATAGTTTATCATTTTCCTCCTTCATCTCTCACCAATCCCCCCTATGTATCCCCTCCAGACTTATCTTCTTCTTCTTTTTTTTTTTTAATATCCCACTGAGTCCACTTAGTCACCAATATGTGCTGGTAAATGAATGTGAGACTGTCCATGGAGCATAGGCAACCTATCAGGGGCCATACACTGACAGAAAAAAATGGCTCCCCATCACCAACAGCCATCATCTGATAATAGCTTCTCAATTAGAGGTAGGGTCTTGTCTGCTCCTTCCTCATCCATGTCCAGAGTGAGATTCTTTAGCCTTCATCAGAAGAACATGTATTTACTGACTCAGACCAACATAAGAATCATAATGATGACTGCAGGCCTAAGAATAGCCACACTGCCAAGGAAGTGGTCAGCCATTCTTAAGATGGTCTTTACCAGCAGAAAAAAGACAAATTACTTGTCAAAATCTGGAATTATCTGGTATGCACTGAGTCTGTATATTTTAGGTATGTCAAAATTTTTAAATAAGATATTAATAAAATGTGAAATATTCATTTTCCACTTTCAAAAATACATTTTCTGCTGTGCAGAATCAGTGGGTATCACGAGGTAAAGGCACATGGTTCCAGTTCTGAAGTGTTCTTGTTCACCTCAGCTGGACTGTAGGCTAATTTAGGTGCTATCGTAGAACACTGAGTAGATGTAGAGACATTCTTCTTTTGGTAAGATAGATCAATAAAGATACAGCTTCTATGTGGGAAAGCATATAGTTAGGTACACACAAGTCTGTTCTCAAACTCTCACACACAGGAAGAGGAAAACAGGAAGAGAGAAGGGAAAAACCTAGGGATTACCCATTTTAATACACAAAAATCTTATTTTGATGTTGTAGAATAGTCATGGTGACATTTTCCTGCTATCATATAGCTGTGGAATAATTTTGACAAATTATTTATGAGCCTGTTCTTATAGTTATCATTCATTAAAGAGAGATAGTTTTGCACTGAAAAAAAAATCTTATTTTAGTTTGATTTGTTGAGTTTCTCATCCATTTGTGCTTAAAAGTGGCAGCTCTCCATAGTATATATTTTCTTTTTTAATTAAAGCTGCAAAATTAGCTTTGAAGGTATTTTAGGGAGTTAGTAACACCTGCTGAAGTAAACAGACTACTTGAAAAGTCAAGAAACAATCACCAATATTTACACGCTTGGACTCTGGTTTAACACAGAAGTAGGGAGTACCTTAAGAGTCCAAAGCCCCTTCAGACAAGAATACTTTCAAGTGACAAGAGTGAGATGGCTCAGAGGTCCTGAGTTCAATTTCCAGCAACTGCATGGTGGCTCACAACCATCTGTAATGAGATCTGGTGCCCTCTTATGGCATGCAGGCTTACATGTGGGCAGAACACTGTATACACAATAAATAAATAAATAAATAAATCTTTAAAAAAAAAGTAGAGAAGCATGGCTAAGAACAGACTGATATTAGGGCATGAGAAAACTTACAGCTTATAAAAAGGCCATTCTGTAAGTGAGACTGTTTTATTATCTTTCAGGTTATCGAAATAATTTTCAGATGTGGTCACAGGAACACATACTATAGATTTCTCTAAGCTGTGAAGCAAGGGAAATGTGTCAGAATATGAGACAAATACCCGTGTCTTGGTTTTCAGAAACGGCAGAACAAGAAGCTGGATTCAGAAAGTATAAAAAGGCAAGCTTGATGTCAACACTGAATGAATACAATTAAGCTGATGGTCTGTAACTACCTTAACCAAAAAATTTGTGAAAATAACATAAATTTTAACTTTATTACATTTAAAAAACTTTTAAATGCGTGTATAATGCAGTGATAGAATACTTCACAAATACAAAGGTATAGTTGTAGGGTTGTCTAGCTACTATAAGATCTTACAAACATGACTGCCAGAACATGAACTGAACAAGGATGACACCAATAGACATGTCAAACTGGATGAAGCAAAACCCATGAGGTCTCAACCTTACATAAAAAACTAGAGGCAACTGAGGAAAGCTGGGAGAGGAGGAGGTTTTTTTTTTTTTTTTTGTGGTTTTTCTAGACAGGGTTTCTCTGTGGCTTTGGCGGCTGTCCTGGAACTAGCTCTTGTAGCCCAGGCTGGTCTCGAACTCCCAGAGATCTGCCTGCCTCTGCCTCCCGAATGCTGGGATTAAAGGCGCGTGCCACCAACACCCGGCTGGAGAGGAGGTTTTTCCTATCGAAGAACACACCAATTGGTTGTCCAGTGCCAAACAAACAGCATTCAAAACATAATACAGGTAGCATTATATGGAAAAACAGGTTATATTTAGGAATATATATGTATGTGCCTATACATACATTTACATACCATAATAGTAAAAAAAAAAAAGAGGCTATAAATTTGAAAGGGGGATATATTGGAGGGGGTTAGAGGAAAGAAAGGGAAGGGAGAAATGTTTTAATTATAGTCCCAAAAATTAAAAGAAAGGTTAAAAAAACAATTAGAATACTGAATACTTCTGGAAAAGAGAAAGAAAGCGAAACATTGGGGGAGGGAAAACAGGGCAGTTTTGATTCTCTTTTGAAAATAAAATCAACAAACCACAGATTAGTAATAAAACATGGCAACATATATGTAGATTTAAGAAAGACACCCGGCAAAACTATCCATGATATCATTAAGAATAAAATAGAGAAATATCTAGAAAATGATAGTAACCATATCTTTTACTGGCCTAGACAAAGACAGGAAAAGCATATTCCCCCCCTCTCCCATACCCTAGCTGCTTTAGAGGGTAGAAGTGGTGGTGATAAAGGCTGAGAACTTAGGTAGCTGAAGGCCCATAGACATTAGCAGCTATATGATCTAGGTAAAGGCACTTGCCCCCCTTGAGTCCACTTTCCTCATCTCCCCTTCTAAGGCAGTAGGGAAGATGTCTTACAAAACAGACATGTTTTGTTTTACTTCTGCTGCAGAGTAAAGCCCATGGATGATATGTGCCTAAGAGACACAGTTAAAATGTGAAATGGCAGAGTTAGGGCATGAATATGTTCTTGCTAAAACTCTCAGGCTAGAATAAAATAAAATCTCAAAATCACAAAGTTAAACTTAATTAATACACATGTAGTATGGAGCTGAGGTTTCCAAACAGGCAAATAAAGTGGAGAAGCAGAGCACTTACAGTTTCCCAGCCCACATGGACAGTTTCTACAAAGGCTGTCTACCACTTGTAGCTGCAGTAAGAGGTTCTGAAGTCCATGTTTGGGATCACTATTCTGTTTAGCTTAGATCTTGAGAAAGGAATCTTCTTAAATTTTGGCTACTGTATCTCAATAAAGACAATGACTAATACAAAGGAAACACTCAGAGACTATGAGAAATACAAGAGATGGATCAAAGATCTGGGTCTGGCCTAAAAAGAAACATTAAGGACATCAAAACAGCTTCACTGGAAAGTCACAGACACTGAAGTCTCCCTACAGGTTACTACCACTAGTACTAACCGGCAGCTGGTGAGTTCTTAGCCCTCTCTCTTGGAATATTAGAATCTAAAGTTCAGATGACCAGTTATCAAGCATGCAGTACCACTTATCTAGCATAGGCTTTTTACCATGCCTTAAAACACTGTTTAGAAATCTAGTGTATTGGGTTTTACTCAGTTGCCAACTGGCCACAGTAAAATGCGGCATATTCTTATGCTAATTATTTAATTAACAAAAACCTGCTCTAATGCTGATTTGTTAATTCCAGGACTCAAGATGTATGGAAAGTAAATTTTTGGCATACTTATGGAAAAGTAGCTTTTGACAATTTTGGAGTTATATTCCTTTCCTCCTTGGAGACCACAGAGACCCACATTTTCTAGCACTTACCGCCAGGTACTGTGGGGTAAGTCCGCCCAGCCCTGTCAGGTTCCCCCAAGTGGCAGTGTTGAGCTGTTGCATCTGCTGTGCAAGCTGCTGCTGGAGGCGTCTTTGTTCTTTGTCCTTCTGAGTGTCAGCAAACTTCACCACGATAGGTGAAGAGCAACCCTGTGGTCAGACACATTGGAAAGTGAAGAGGATGTTACAGCCTGATTGAATCCCTTTATAATATTCAGTCATCATTGGATTTATCTTTCTTAACTATCTTGGGGCACACAGAATGGTCTGGAATGGTTTGGTTTGATATTCCCTCTTCTCTGAATGATACCATCAACAGAGAACTCCATATACTGTCACTGGTTTCTTTAAGGGGATCTGTTGGTTGGTGAAGCCAGTTGCTTTTTGTTTGGTTATTACACTGCCTCTCTTCTCTCTTCATGTGTCTTCCTTCAACTTTCCAGGACTTCCTTCAAGACTAAGACCTTATCTTTAATTAAACTTAATGGTTTGCTTGACTTAAAGATGGCTTGTCTGTGTGTCTGCCAATTCTATATATGGATAGAGGATAAAGGGACAGAAATCGCAATAGGAATGAAAATATCTCACTCATTTTTTACCATTCATTTATTTTCAGTTATGTATTTCTGAACACTGGAACAGTGAAAATAATTTTGACACAGTGAAAGAAAGAAGTGAGTTTCATTTTAGGAACATGGATGAAGGACAGAGATATGAAAAAATACATATATTCACTTATCAAATAAATTATTCACATGTTTTCCAAAAGGTCTCTTTTCCTCCTTCCATGTCACTTCTGTTCTATCCAGAGTCCCCAGAGCAAACCCAAAGATCCAGAAGCACATTCTTTCTAGTCAGAGTGATGTATCTTAAATGGCAGGAGAAGTAGTCTACATTGTTCCTTTTCTCTATTAATTTCACTATTCTACAAACTTCATTCAGTTTTAATTTCCTTTAAAAGGTAAGGAGTAAGAATAGTGAGAAAGACATGGTCAAGGGCCATGTAATAAAATAAATTAATTTTTGAGTTAGATATAATCTTTGGGAAAGTATTAGCTTACTACTTTGAGCAGGATCATCCTATCCCAAACACTTTTGAAACATCTGCTACTTGGTAAGAACTCGACAGAAAAATACCCTCCCTCCTGAACTTTCACTTTGACATAGAGCATGAAGCATATTCCATCACCATTCTGTTCCATTTTGCTGTGTTGTTTTGGAAAAAGGTATTTCTACCCAATTGATAAAATAAAATCTTATTATGTGATAACAGCTCTCACAAAAGATATATTCCTATTTAAATGAACTTTTCCCTTCTAGCCCCATTGGGTCATTTTTCTTTTTTTTTCTAAAATTTGCATGCCTTTCCTTATCACTTTGGGTAGTTACTGGGAATTATACTATGAATTAAGGCTATCATGTCTGTTATTTAAGAAAGTGAGAAAAGTGAGGTGACTGTTTCGGTGTAGAACTTCTAGTCTACCAACCTATAGCTCTGTTAAGCAGAGTCATGGTACAGAACATTAAAGGTCAATACATTACATTTATTGTAACATTTCCACCATTAAAAAATCCAATATGCCTTTTTCTTTATCTGCTCCATATTCTAGTACTTTACTACTTCTTAAATGAGAGCAAAATATTCTAAAGATGAAAATAACACAGAGAAGTTTTGCATGGAGAAGTTCTACTGCTGCATCAAATGTGTTCCATAACGAATGACAGCATCTTCTCCTAATAGTACACTTACTGGTTTCTTGTTCTTAAATGTGAAAAAGGCATAAAATCAGGTAAATAACTATAGCTTTAAATGTGACCTGTTTAAGTCATGAAAGAAAAACTAGTGGACCTAGTGTAGAGGAAAATGGGGAAATAGATGCTCTATGCATGTTTAAAAGCAAATCTTTGAACAAACATTCATATCAATTTAAGTTAAAAATACTGTCTTACTTAAAGATGTGTACCAAAGTCCTGAAAATAATGTAATTAGTTAAAAATCAAGCAACTGTATGATTTTAGTAGAACTGCATGGCATGTATGGTTCTGTTTAGAGGTCAATTTTTGTAAACCAAACTGAGGATTCTTTGTTTAAACATGGGTTTTCAGTTTTAAAAAGAGTATGCCAACTATCATGGAATCACAATAGAAATCTTAAAAATAACCTATGCCAGCCTTATATAGTGTTTTTTTCCACATAAAAGCTTCCTGCACTTTGGTTTTGGTTCATGCCCAGTTCTGCCTTGTGTCTTGAGCTCTTTGCAGTAGAATGAGAGACTCAGACCATACCATCATTCTCTATGAACTCATTTGGAGATGGCAGCACTTTTAAGTGTCAAGAGAAATTGAAAACCTTATCTAAGGGCAGATGAGTTTTGGTATAAGTCTCTCAATTATAAGAAACAAAAATAGTTAAATGCATGTAGGTAAATAAGTACATATGAGGACTGTTTTCTTAGTAGCACTTTCATTTTAATGTCTAAGTTGAAAAACAGCTGAAAATCCACCAGTCTGGAGCAGCCTACAAGAAAGGGGAAGTCAAAATATCAGGAATGTAACTGCATGGTATGAAAGATTGGAATCCTGCTTATTATTTCCTATCATGTTTGATTTTCACCCGAGCTTGCCTTCAGGTGGGGTGGTGGAATTGTCTTAAAAATGCACTGCACTGCAAGGAAAACACATTAATTATATATGTTAGGAATATCAAAGTCAAAATAAATTTTCAAAATAGACAATAGGCTTTGCAATGCTGGTGTCACAACCCAAAAAAGTACAGTAAACACTTAATGACAATGCCATGCACATGTCTCCCACCCTTTCCACCCACCTTCTGAATGAATATATAGAAGTTTCCAATAAAACATGACGCATAATGATCACTTAGCTCCCAGCATGCTTTGGAAGATGCAGCATTGCAAAACAAAAACAAACAAACAAACAAACAAACAAAAAACCCCAAAATTAAAACCCCAATCACAAGGGGATTTTTAAAAGAAGCTCAAACAATTATTTTTGCACATTAAATAAAATTGAAAGTATTTTTGTTCAAATAGAAAAACACAGCTTCAGATAACACCACAAGGCCACCACCTCTGGAGAAATCACCCATACACAGATACGGTGTACATAACACAGCAGCACATGCACTCTCAAATGGCCCTATCAGACCATACAGAAGAGTAAGTGATGGCATGTCACTTTTGGAATGTTCTTGTGCAAAATTCTGAAAGGCCACGACCCAAATCACAGACTGAGTACAGAGAGCCGTGCGTCTCCACCTGTGGCATATTTCACATTGCTGATTCTCTTGTTCAAGTCACAACCTCTTAAGAGATTGGATTTGAGCCCATGCATTTCTTTGTTGTTCACTTTTAAGTAAAAAGGACCAATCTGATTTTTTCAGGAGACTGAAAATTAGCATTTCATTGTTAAATAGACGAATTATTAACTTTCTTCAATATTCCCGAGATGAAAAATAATTCTTTAGTCAAATGATTTATTATAGCAGCAATCTGAGGTGGGGGTTGTTCAGCTTAGCCCATACCAACCCTGCTGTGGGATATGTATTCAATCCTCTAGGTCCAGAATGACATTGTGCCCAAGTGCCTCACATTTCAGGACCTGTGTTACTCCAATAAAAGGCTCAAAAGACAGCTGTAGGGCAAGTGGAAGGTTTCACTAAAGTGCTTTTCAAGTCATTAGGGGGAAATGCAAGTGGAAGGAGAGAAGAGGGGAAGGGAGTGAGGAGAGAAACAAAGAGAAAGAGAGAGGAGGATGAATATGAGTGAATGAAAAGCGAAATGGTGAAAGTTTAAATCTGTGATTGTCATGTGAACAATCCACACAGGAGAGAATTGCTTTACCATTCCCCATCATTTGCACAAAGAAAACAAAGAAAGGGCAGATGATACAGTACCTCCATGGTCTGAGACTGATGCATGGCTTTGATTGCATTCTGTGCCATTGCCCTTGTAGAAAATGTGACAAACGCACAGCCTGTGGGAAACAAGGGGACAGGGAGCAGGAAAGACAAAAACAACAAGACAAAAGGGTTGGACGCTTGTTAAACCAACACAGTCTACGAGAACTGCCACAAGACGACACTGTTCTCAGTAGTACATAAAAATAAACAGCTTCTCTCTTTGGTTTCATCTCATTTTGCTTTTTATTCACAGTGCTGAATTGCTAATCCGACCAAAGCAGAACAATATATTCATCAGCTTTTTTTTTTTTTAAAGGGACATAGGGAGCATGTTGTGTACTTTTTTTTTCCCTCAAGCTACAAGATTTGAAAGTAGCAAAAGGTAACTTGCATTTCCTAAGTCAAAAGTGGGCTACTTTCTATCTTCTCCTTGGCTGATAGCATGCGCACACCAGGGTGCTGTATTTCAAAATCTATCACTGAATTTTAATAAGTAAATAAGGAATTCATCACACCAAGGGTAAATAAGCAAATAAATTTCAAGATCTCAAAATGTTAATAAATATGTCAAATTCATTTTGGACAGTTAAAAACATATATTAATAGAAATTGATGCTATTCAAATGTAAACAAATATACTAAATCCATTACAAAGTAGTAATTACTAATTAGCGACAAAACAAACTATTACTCAGAAAATTCAACAGCGCAATTAAAATAAATTATAAAAACTGTAATTGTTCAAAAAATTTTCATGACTTTGGAAGTTGTAACTTTCTGAAAGGAATCAGAGATTTGACCTAAAGTTTAACACACACAAGACAATGTACATTTCTCTGAACATCTACTATGAGACCTGTAAAGCTTTCTGTTTTTATTTTATCTAGTGCCATAAAATAACTACATCTGTAGTGCTGGTTCCTGCTTCTGATAGCCATACTGGCCACCACGCAGGTCACTGCTTGAACTACATGGCTCATCACCCTTTGTACTAATAAAAATACTGCCTTGTGGAATTTACATTTTATTCATCATGTACCCCTTGGGCTTCTTAGAGAAAAAGGCTGTGAAATTAATGCAGATTTAGGCTGATTTTATAATAATACCAGAGCACACTAAAGCTTAGCTAAAGCAATACAGACTTATTTCATTTATGATCTCTAATGACTTTAAAAGTGCATTGATTTTCAGCTTCTTTTGCCTTGCACAGTTTGAACTTAGGTATCAGCGAATAATTTAGTGTTCCACCCAATTTCCTCAGAACATTATTATTACTACTTAAAAGATTTCCAAATGAAGCAGATCTAAACACTGAGAGGCTGAAGCCTATTGTCATTTCAGAGCAGATGCATGAAAGCAGAATTCTGGCATCAACAGTGTAAGATTGTTGCCCCTGTGGCCAATAAACAAAATAGAACATTCTACATTCAAACATCCAGAAGATTGTTTGGTTTATGTAAAGCAATTTGTGAGTCATAAAATACATTTTCTTCTTTTGTCCTGCATTGTATACCTGGTAAGAATATCAAGTTAATACTGCTGTAGTGCCTTTTAATCAAACAGCATTAAGAGAAAGCAGTGCCTGCCTGTCCATGATCCCCATGCACAATGACATCCAGTAATGAAAGTAAGCAAATGCATATTTTTTGCAGCATTCTATAATCTTTAATATTCCCAGTACACTGGAAGGTCATTCCATACCCTCCACCAGTTGAGCAGGTCTTAAGAAGTAGGAAAGAAGTCTAGCTATTATGAGTACTGAGCTGTTACATGTAGTTCTATGACAGAGCAGCATCAGACAAAGCCAACTATTTAAACATGTTGCATGTACCCAGACATGACTGCAGCTTCTGTCATCAATGAAAACAATGGCCTTCTCTAAGGCATCTAGACCATGTGTGTAAAATAGCATGTGAGATAGTTGACAGTGCCTCCATTGGCTTCCATATTGATTCTGAGGTTTAAAATTATACTCTCAAGTTTACCAACTGTTTCAAACTAATATCTCCTTAAAACTTTATGATCATCACTTAAATTACAGACAAAATGAGACTAAGAGATTTTAATTTTTTGACTTCTTGCCTTGGAACTATAATATGGAGTCCAAAGGAAATCATCTAGCAGAGGTTGTTTGAAAGCATATAAATTTTGCTTTAATAGTCACAAAAATTGCTCTATTCACTTCATTTTCTCTTATTAACTAGGAATGAGTGCCAAACTGACAGTTTCCAAATGGAGGTTAAAATGCATAAAAAACATGTAAAATATCAATAAGAATCAATAAGGCACAGTTTATGTATTTATCACAATTTCACACAAGTAACTTGTAAGTAACTTTGGGAGAAAGATAAAGTAATTAGCAGCACAATAAAATCTCTATCAACTCAACCCACTGCCCTCTTATTTAAGAAGCCTGCAATTAAAAGCTCAAGCAATGCTTCTAATTCTAACCTATTCAAAAAATGATCTGACAAATGTGATGACTTCTTTAACCTTTTCAACTTACTGGCAGTAATGCAGGAAGAGAGACACTGTCTCCTTAGGGGCTTTTGTCAAGGTCTGTACTGTGTGCTGTGCTCAATTACTTAGGAAAAAAAAAAAACCTACTGTGTCATTTATAAAGTGGGAATACATGGTGAGAAATTTTACTATCAGTGAAACTCTGGACGAAGTTTAGTAACTTAGGAGTCAACTACTTTTTTGGGATAGTAACGATTGTTAACCTTTGTAATTTTTCTAAATCAGGAGAAGTTGTGGCAGTTGTATGGATAGATTTTAATTTTCTTTTCAACACAAGTACAAGCACAGCAGTGGCTCCAGTTCTTGGTTTCTGATGTGTGGCTTTTCACCAACACAGGTCCTAAGAGTTCTACTATTAAAATTGGCCTTTTCTATAACAGAACGAGAAGGCTTTCTATTAGGCAGAAGTATCTTATATCCTAACTGGTCCTTTCTTCTGCATGCAGTGGCACTGACTGAGTCTTGACAGGATAGCACCTCTGATTTTGTGGTGTCAGCCCTTAACTATTTAGGAAATGTACTATCTAGGCAACTAGTACTCTGGTAACTGACCTCAATGCTGGAGAAATTAGACTGGAGGAGAAGAATATAAGTATTAAAACAATGACACTATGTATTTTTTTATTTTTGGTTTGGATATGGTAGCATTTATACATATGACTGTCTTAAAACTGCCAAATAAATATAACAGAAAAAAAATCTTTTTGTGGCTAACCTGTAGTTTAGCTTGCAATTACTGTGTCCACTTTCAGAATATCAGAGATTACTAATAGGAATGAGGAGTGGAATTCCTATTTCAGTGAGGTTGCCTTCTTGCTGCTAAAACAGAAGATTGACTGGAGAAAGGTTTCACAAAGTGATTTCTTCCTACAGACAGAATCTAAAGAAAGCTCAAAGCCCTATCATAGAGGGTTCTTGGAACACATCTATCACCCTTGCCATTTCCATTGAAAAGGCATCTCTTCCCCCACCCCTATTTCCTTTCTTTTTTTGAGATGTTTCTCTGTGTAGCACTGGCTGTTTTGGTTTCTGCTCTATAGATCAGGCTGGCCCTGAGCACAGAGATCTGCCTGCTTCTGCCTCCTGAGTGCTGGGATTAAAGGAGTGTGCCACCAGCACGCAGTGAAAAGGCATCTTAACTCAGGGGTTCTAGCTCTTATCCCAGTTACCAAGACAATTTTACAGAACTAGATGAATTCTTGCTTCACACTAAAAAGCAAAAACTAAAAAAAACCCCAAAGCTAGAAGTACTTTTAAAAGCATGAATGATGCCAGGGTCTTAGTTTTTTGTGATGGCCTGCTGTATCTCAAATAGAAGAAACATGATTCTAAATTATTGTGCAGCCTGAAGGAGACTTCAAACTATGGAAAACTTACTTATAAATGAATCATCACCTAACAAAGACATTAATGCAGCCAATTTTCCTTGCTGTATCTTTTTAGTACTGGCAGGAATGATCAAACACATAGTACAGCATAATAATTGGGCACATGCATTAGTAATCTAATATATCATAGGGAATGTTGGATTAATTTACTAAAAACTGGCATTGACACATCAATCATTCATTTATGGCATCTGAATTTGGGTACAGACTAGGACCCACTTAGCAACTGGCAAAAATCTCATTTCTATGATGAGATTTTCTAGAAGACTATTTTGAACAAGATGGCAAAATGTAGTCAGTATTCCAAGGGACATATGATGAAATTTTTCCATTAAGATGAATGTTTAGGTACTGTGTGGACAGGACTACACTGTGAACAAAACAGTCTTCTTCACATACCTGTCTGAACAGTCAAAAACCCTATCCTAATATACTGCTTGAATACAACAAGGGACAAACAAGGATTTAACTCCTAAACCCAGTCTGTGCTCTTCCCTGAAAACATTCATTTGTCAAGGGTTTAGGCAGGGGAATGTTGGAACACAGCTGGAATACTCTTAGAGCAGGCAGAAAGAAAGTTACCTTAAATGGTAATGAAGATTTGACTACAGTTTGTGGAAAAGAAAAACAAAATCAACTTTTTCACTGACTCCTAGTTATATATACTCAACTGCCACTGTGCAGAAAATCCCACAGGTTAGATCTCAATAACCTTACTTTCTGACTGTATGGATCAGTGAGAACATGTTTATTTTAGGAGCTCAACATCCTAAAGTGACACTGTCAAATATATACATTTGGTTTAGAAACCTCAAGCTTTGCTTTTGAGAGTAACTATCTCACTGGAAATGCCATGCACGGGCCATGGTGGCTAGTAGTTTTCTCATGGAGACCTAGCTGTCCAGGTACCTGAGAAGTGCAGCTGTCCTTGCAGAATGATGTAACTATTGATATGAAGTTGTTTGAAAGTGATCAGCAACATGCTTTCCAAAATAAGAGAGTCAACAGAAAGTTCCCAGTGGAGGAAAGGCCTCCTTAGATTTGGGCATACTGTCCTTTGCATGGATGAGAGAAAGTATTTGCTGAGTAGTTATATATGACTGGCAGGTGATGGGTACTTTCTAGGTAGATATTTACAACCATTTCCTAAGGATGTTTGTTCTGGGACATATACTAGTTATAGTGAGTCACCTCCCCCTAAAGATAATGCCTCTAACTGAAAGTATAAATAGGGCTTGAAAGGTACAGCTATGAGCCCTGGAAGTTTTCAGGCCTCTATGCTTCTGAGTGGTGTCCTGGGTCAACATGTCTGAGGAGCCTTGGCAGAATGCCTACCTATTAGGGAGGAACTAAAATGGCTGATGTGGCAGAGGAAGGATGGTGGAGAGGCTACTTGTCTTCATATTTATAGCTTAACTGGTAAACCCAGAAGAAAGGTAAGTGGCCAATCACTGGACTTTATCATTACTAAACAGTCTAATGCAGAATCTTTCTTACTGAGTAATTTATACTCTGATTTTATATACAGGTACTCTTCAACAGTTGAGTTAGCAACAGATACTGAGGGAAAAATGTCATGTGTCTTTTATTTGAAGTGCCACTAATAGGGGGCATTTATTATTATTATATGATTGAAAACTGAAATTCTTTAGTGAGAACAAAATAGTAGCATGAAACAGAATTGTTCTTATATCAAATACAAGGGATTAAGGAGCAGGCCCCTGAAGCCAGGAGTCCCTAGGTCCTAACTGAAAAAAACATACCACTGTCTGTCTTTGTATTTCAGAAAAAAATGGTTATAAATGAGTATTTTCTTTTTTCCAATAGGGAATTCTCACCAGTTCACCAAGAATTACTTTTCTGTTTAAAGCAGTCATGGGGAGGGTATTCTTTTCTTTACATTCATCCCATCATAAAATACAAATGAGAAGGCTCCCATAACTTAGTATAGGAAGAGGCTACTTCTGGGGTTAAGTATTGGTTAATCAACTGCAGATCAAATTAGCTAAGCTCACTTAGTAAGCAGTGAGTATTCTACTGTTTCCTATGAAAGTTGTGCTGCTTTGAAATCTTATAGGCAGAAGATACTAGTGTATACCTAAAGATACCTGGTATGTTCCTCACCATCTCTCCTGTACAGCAGACGCAGTGAGATGGAGGGTCATGCCATAGCTGGCTAAGGTAAGCAGAGGGAAGACAGAAAGCCAGCACTCAGCTTCACACTCACAGTCTCTATGCACCCATACAGACAGTAAGCATGTGAAAAGCCAGAAACTGGTTACTAATGTTGTCCTGTGAGAGAAGCAAGTCAGATATACATTCACTGCTGTCATCTATGAATGGGGAAACTAAGAAATAGAAGCAGGAAAATAAATCGACTAAGGTCACATGTCATCAAAAATTCTGGAACTGGAAGTTAGAGTCATTGACACCTGAGCTACTGTAAACTTCACTCTGATTATTTAAAAACACCCCCTACCCAATTATTTTCTTCATGCTGTCTGCATTGCTTTTCTCAGGTACTGTTGTTATTTAAGGGCCACAGTATCCTCTTCAGCTTTTAGAAATTCAGCCTGGAAGTGAGGGTTAAATTACCAGTATTTCATAATTGACAGATAGCGAATGAACTGTAATTTGCAAAGTGCTCTCCCTACCCTACCCCTTTAAAGCACCTTTTGAGGAAAATATAGCAATCAAAAGTTGGTGTGTCCTAGTTTCTTGACGACCTCCATTTGGGAACTCTGAAGGTGGATGTGGGTAAAACTTTTGTTCCCTGGGATTTTAGTCTAGGAGCCAACAACATGAAGCTTTCTGTCTAAGATTAAACAGACAAAACAAAACAAAACAAAACAAAACAAAAAACCCCCAACTTCCTCCCATGGCTTTAAAATTAGGTTAAGAATGGTGAGACAGATGAACATTATCACCTTGATATTTACTGCCTGGCTACTTATTTTTAATGTGTGGTTTGGGTACCAGACCTGGCCCAGAACCAGAGCTTGAGAATGAGTAGCTCATTAATTATCCCCATGGAAACTGCACTGCAAAATGAAGATTTATTCTTCAAATTGAAAAATGTTTGACATATACACTTCTACTTTGGATTGACTTGGGAAACTGCAGTCAGACAATTGTTAACACATACTGTCAACCTTTGTGTAGTTTAAGGAAGGAGGTGTGTGGTCCTGTTAAGAGGGAGGCAAGTATGGAAAGGGTGATCCACACTGTTTCATACAGTGGCTTTACAAAACTGTAGTATTCCTCAGGGTTGTAAACCACAGCTTTTTCTTCTGTTGTTGTGGCAAAAGAAGAGCCTACAATTTTCTTAAGGTCATTTTTCTATCATTGACAAGATGGGACAGTGGACTAGAGGTCTGGTAAGATGCAGGGCAGGTCTGGTTGCTGAGATTATATACCTGCTCTGCATTGCATGAGCAGTGACACTCTTTCTAGGCTTTTCTGGCTATTATAGGAACACATTTTTATGTTTGTTCAGGCAAACAGAAAAGTACAGCTGAGTTATCTATTCTCATCTCCCACCTTCTCTCCTTGTCCCCCAAATTTGCTCAATTTGAGGATGAAAAGGGGGGCACAGAGTTATGGTGGCCTTCCAGCATTCCCTGGGAGCTGGTACTCAGAACTTTTCACCTACAGAAGTATGAGATGATCATTTTGGTTACAGAGAAAAGTTCAGGTTGGATAACTTGATCACATGGGATGTACTGCAAGCTGACCTCCTACTGCATGTGATGCCTACATTTCCCTTGACTGTGACACAGACTTCCAATTAGCACTTAAGGAGAGAGACTTTACACAGAGCACACTCACCTCGACTCAGCCCGTCGGGTCCCCGGAGAATCCGGCATTCTTCTATCTGGCCAAATGGAGAAAACATCACTCTGATATCATTCTCATTACATTTCTTCGAAACCATTCCTATGAACAATTTTCGGTCTTCCACAGCTAGGAGATAAAAATAGCAAACGAACAAAGGCCATATCATCTTTTTTTCTTGTAATCAATGCTTTATTACAACCAGACTTGGCCATGTGAGAATGAGTGCAGTCCTAGAGATCACTGTAGACCTGTATCTGCCCTCTTTCTCCAGTTCATCCTATCTAGTCTGTCTTCCACTCTGACCCCAACAACAATCTGTTCAGCTTCTAACTAGCCAGGCTGGTGACACCTGATGTGGCAGTCTATTCTAGAGGAGAAAGTTGTTGCTGTTCCTTGAGAATCATCTCTGAAAGCCCCAACCTTGGCAAAACCAGAAACAGAAGAGTAAGGAGGAAACTGTAAACTGTACTAGTCCAGTAACTTGGAGCTAGGTTTCTCATGGAATGGAGATACATTTTGGGTATCATAACATTGTACACACTTTAGACACAGAGAGGGAAAGACTAGACAGGTTTTTCTTCAGATCTGGGAGGTTCCCCCCAAATCTCCATTTTTTTTTTGCTCACAATATTTGACCTATATTTAGCTTATAATATTTGCTCACAGTATTAGCCTATAAGGCAAAATTACAGCTGATTTCAGGACAATGTTTGCAGCCATTCTAAGAGACAGGCCCTTTTTAAAGATATTAGTGCTCTTAGAGATAAGACATGCTTATCTTCTGTTGCTTTGATTTAATGTATTCCTGAGAATTAAAAATGTGGGTGGGGGAGGAGAGAGATAGCCATACACCTCCAAGACTGGCTTAGGCTCTGCTACAAGTCACTGTGTGACTTTTGTTATTGAATCTGTATTAACTTCTTGCCATTGCTGTTTAGGTGGTAGTTACTTCTTTTTTTTTAAAGTCCTTTATAGGGCAGAGTCTCATTTACATGTACACAGTATTCTGGATCTTGAGTCCTGGTGCCAGTGGAACTCAAGTGAAGGTATGTGATCTGATGCTCCAGGGTTGGGTCATCTGTTCCTGAAGTGCTGTTCCTATTCAATGACTTACCCTGAAGCAACACTGTTGCAGAGTTCTTTATAATGACTCCAAAGTCTTATCTCTGTGCTGCCCCATACATAGCCAAAGACATGTGAGTTCACTGAACACTTGAAAGGGTCTAGTATGATTGAGAAACAGACTTTTAAATGCCATCTCATTTTAATTTAAAATTTCAAAGCCCTATGTATGTATTATATTGGTTGGTGCAGCTCTGAAGAATGGAAATGAAGCAGCTAAATAAAAGTTCTTAGAGAATTCCACATAATAAGTGAAGGACTTACTCCATCCATTTGTAAGACAGATTTCTGAGTCCATAAAGGGGTCACTCAAGAAATAGGTGGTCTAACGTGGACTACAGACTCACTTCCCTACTCCCAGTCCAGTATTCTTACTGCTTTACTGATTGATTCCTCCAAGCTAGAGGAAGTAGATGAGATCTAAAGGGAAGAACAATGAACATGACTTATGGACTCTGGTCTCTTGTGTTGTCATTAATTTGAAACATGACCTTGATAACCATCTCATCTTTGTCAACTTCTCTTTCCTTCCCTTTTCTTTCTCTTTCTCTTAGCAGTGCAGAGAAGGCAACCCGGCCACATGCTTTCATTAAACGAAGCCCTGGGATGGAGGGTGCTAGAGCAGTGTGCAGAGTCCCCCTTCTCCTATCTCCTTCTACACTCTGGATACTTTCCAAGATAACTCAGAGAAAGTCTAGGGCTCTTTTAATGTCCCCCCTGAGATGAAAAATAAAGAATCTGAAGAGACCTGTAGTGGGGGGTGGGACAATAAGATACTTATACAAGGGACAAGGTTAGGAATAACTGTGGTGTATCTGAAAAAGCAAAACAACAACAACAACAACAACAACAACAACAACAAAACCCAAAAAACTTACGATCAGAGAATGAGCTCAATGGATAAGGACATCAATAGAATTAAAAGTCACTGGGTAGGCTATGAAGTATCTTTTATTTAGATAAAAATTTTCAAGTATTGTTCTTTTTGTACTTCTAGAACAAGTGAAATACCAACTATGTACTGTGCATTAGCACAAATCTAAGTGGTCTAGAGCATCAAGCTTCAGCAATTCCAGATCCCTTGACAAGGAGCCTTTATAGTCTCCCCACCTGTATGATAGAGGGTACCTGTGGGCTGGCCCCTGAATACAGAGTTTTGCACAGAGGCCCTGTGAGGAGGATGTGGCACACCCTCGATGGAGACATGGAAATGGTTGGAGAAGTAAGGGAAAGACCACTGCTCTCCAGTTCTTATCGTTTCTTGCTTAGGATTCCTATACCTACCAAACTATGGCTGGCAGCTGTATGAGAATAAAAATTCCTGTCATATTTCTTACCTCAAAGCATCTTGATTTAGTTCTTTAAAATAAAAGCAATTTTTCAAAACTTTCATTTAGTTTCTAGTTTCACTCATAAATTTGAAATTACATTGCTTAGCTTAAAACAATTTGTACATTTTGAGTTCCAGGGAGGTACTGCAGTAAACTATACATGTAGATCTTGACTAAGCTAAACCATGACCCTCATCCGCAAAAGGATGAGTACTATGAAAATAAGAATAATTTAAGAGGAAATCCCAATTTCCTGGGTTACCACTAAGAATAAACTCAACCAGATATTAAGAAGACAACTTTTCTTTAATATACTATTAGCAAGGATTAAAGGGTATATAGTAAAAATGTTAGTTTCCTTTTCTCTGTGTGAGGCTCATGCCTAATTGTCAATCAGTAAGAATATGGATCGCTGAAGTCAATCTACAGCATTCAGAGTAATCTGGTAGGTAGGTACTTTAGAGGAATTAAAAAAAAATAAAAACTAAAGTAAGCTCCCTTCTCTTTAGGGAAATCTCATTTTGCTTCAGGATAAGGTGAATTGAGCAAGGACTGGACTTTCACACATTAAGTGCTGCATAGATAGGTTCTTTATTTCATCAATAGCAGCAATAGAACTCAAAGGCCTTCCAGACCAGAGGTCAATAAAAACCTTCCTCTCATGGTGTAATGAGAAAGGGTTAATGTTTTGAGTATAAGGGTAACTTCTTAAAGTGAGAGGTCTAGAAATGTCATTTTAAAACATCCCTAATTGTAAGTCTGTGCTAACACCCTGGCATACAATCTGTCAAAGTCACACCTGGATTTGAGGCTGCTTGAATTAATTAACAACTTTTCAATGTGTTGGTGCTAACATATGGCATTTAATTACTGCCTCCAAATCTTCGGGTGGCTCCACTTTGAATTTCAAAATTATTTTTCCATCTTCTAGAAAATCAGAAAGTGACTTTATGAATATACTTAGTGATTCCTACTTTTAATGGTGGCTTTGAAGGTTTTCACCTTCCCATGAAAAGTTATTAGATTGGCTAGCTCTGAGCTTGACAAATGGATACAGAGGTCCTAAGAAAGAAACAGGTCTTAATTAGCATTTCTGGAGTCTAGGAACTAAGGTCCCTCAACATGTACAGTTGGAAAGTTAAAACAAGATGTTTTCTGTGTTCTTTCTAGACACTTTCTTCCTTGACAACAAGAAGCATGACAACAGTCAATCCTGGCTCTAGCCAATGAGACCCATAAGAGGTAAGCTAATGCTTTTGTTATCACTCATAGTAGTTTAGCTTCAACAACTGCCTTTCAATCTTGCATAGCTGGCGCCTTCTATTTTGTAGAAAGAGAACTAAAAGCTGATTGAAGACTGAAAGCTGGATGCTATAGAAAAATCTATGATATATAGAATGGAAGAAAGGAGCTATGCTTATGCTAGTTAACAAGAGTACTTATAACCATACCTCCTCAAAAAAATTTTTGTACCATTACTCAATTTTCTGCAGTGGAAAATAACAAAAACTAGAATTTTCTTGATGCCTGAGTATTTTAAAAGTGTTCTTATTAAACGCCCATCAATGATTACTTATCTAGAATGGTATTTTTTATTCTTCCCCTTGCACATCTGATATAGTAGCACAGCAAACAAAATGCTGTGGAGTAGAATAAATGTGATAGAGGACAGAGATTAAATTATAGTTATTTGAATGGTGAATTAAAGGAGGCCACAGAGGTTTTGGAAGCCCATTCATCTAAGATGCAACAGTACAGGGTTGGTGTACAAGCATCTAACATTTCTGGTCTCACTAGAGATTCTCCATATCAGACTGTAGATGGCTAGTGATTCAAAGGGTGACTTTTTTGCTTGAATTCACTTATCCATAACTAACTGATCTGTGATTAGCAGTCCTTGCTCAGAAAATACAAAATTTCAGAATCTGAGCACACAGATAATGAAAACAGTAACTGTCTAGCTGTGATGAGTCTTTTGTGCTATACATAAATGTCAGCAAACTCAATAAAAGTGCAATTAGAGCTCGTTATACTTCTTTCACTGCTATAGGAGCTATTCAGAGCATCTGAACCAAAGAAATCTTTGTGTTCTTTATGGTTCTGAAACTATGCTTACCTGTCAAAAATGCCATGAGGAATCAGAAAAGGCTGCACCACTTATGATTTGAGTTAGAAAAGCATATATTTCTTCTGATCCCAAGTTAGGTTCAAAGGGAACTATATAAGCTGTTCAGATCTATGAAAGGCAAAGTTCTATTTGAGCTCCCATAATAAGAGTTTTTGAAATATAATTGTAAGTCTGTTCTCATGTTTTGACTTTTCTAATAAGAAATTTAGAAAATGAAGGCAAAAGGAGAATTCATCCCACAGGCAGGTTTGGGGATCCTTAGCCTGTATATGAGCTTATACTGTACTGTGAGCAGTCGAGGCATGCTAGACTGGCCACTTAGAATGAAACAAAACATCTGTTTGTGGACTATGCTGCTAATTTAGCATTAGCATAACATAGCAAACTGAGTTTTTCTGGTGTGCCAGGTATTATGCCAAGCTCTTTATGAACTCTGTGGGAGTTTGATAAATGTCCCCCATAGGCTCATGCATCTGGCACCTGGCACTTTTTGGGAAGGTTATGAAATTTTCAGGACATGGAGCCTTACTGGAGTAAATATGCTACTGGAGGTGAGCTATGAAGAGTTCCTAAGCTCACTTCACTTCCCGGTTCACTTTGTTTTCTATGTGTGCTTGAGTTTGCTCTGATCTCCTACCATCATGCCTTCCTTAACCTTATGGACTCTCCCTCTGACACTATAAGCCCAAATAAACTCTTCCTTAAGTTGCCTTTAGTCATGGTATTTTTTTCAGAGCAACAGAGATGTAAGCAATACAGAAGCTGGTACAGAGAAATAGTATTGTTTCTGATAAAAACCTGACCATGTTGTTTTTTGGAGGAATGTGGAAGATTTTGGAACTTCAGACTAGAAAAGTAGTTAAATGTTGTAAGCAGAATGTAATGGCATATTCTAGTGACAGTGTGAAAGCTAGAATTGTTGAGAGTAGTGAAGGTCTGGCTCAAGGGGTTTCATAGGGGAATACGAACTTTATTAGCAACAGAGCTAGAGACCATTTCTATGATATTTTGGCAAAGAATCCGACTGTTTTCTGTGTATGTTCTGAGAAATTTTGAGGATAAATGAAAAAGAAATGGACTGTTGGGTGTTTAATCCCAGTACTTAGAAAAGAAGAAGCAAGTGTATCTCTGTGAGTTCAAGGCCAACCTGCTCTACATAGTGAGTTCTAGGCCAGTCAGGGCTGCATAAAGAAATCTTGTTTCCATAATAAATAAATAAAATAGTCATGGCCTAATTTCTTTGGTAGAAGAGATTTCAAATCAGCATAATGTTGAATCTTTGGCATGGTTATTACTAATAACTCTTATGCAGGTCTACAATGAAAAACAGCAAATGGGGAAGAAATTAAAAATGTATAGGTTGAATAGAAACAACACTAGGAAGCTTAATGTTTCAGCTAAGGCATGTGCTAAAGGAGAGACTGTGATTGTTAAGGGGAGTGGGGCCAGAAAGTAGAGGCCTCCTGCTCTGCACTGGAACAATAGGAAAGGTGCCCTCAGGAAGACTCTATCTAGCTAAGACTTACAACTTAAGAAAGGAGAAAGCCAAAGGGGCTCATAGAAAGCAACTGCTTCAACACAGAAAAACTGCTGATAATTCAGTCAAATGGTACAAGGGGTTCATCTCAAGCTGGCAGTTAACTTGGCAGTTTATCCAGATGGCACTGCCCCCCATAGTTTAGAGAGAAGCTGAAGCCAGGCAACATGTGGCAGTGCTGGAGTCCTTTGAGAAGGCCCTAATGGGCCATTACATGAAGTTGTGAAAGTGAAGACTGGTTGCAGTGAAGACTACAAGATGTTGGAGATGTCAGAGGCAGGAGACATCTGTCAAAGAAATCTGAATACAAGGTGTAGAATCAGCTCAAAAAAAGAGATGTATGTTATATTTTACAGCAAAGCTATAGGACTGAGACATCTAATCTCTTTCAAACTAAAGCCCTAGATACTGGACACGGAGCTACAGGATTCTGTATTTTCCCTGATGGGTTTTAGTCTTGCTTTGATCTAATATTTCCTTAGTATGTCCCCATTCCTCCCTTTTGGAATTTTCCAACTTTATGTTGGAAGTATGTAATTTAATTTTTGGTTTTATAGGAGTCACAGTTAAGAGACTGCTTTGAATCTCAAAACAGACTTTGAACTTCTAAACAGTGTTGAGATTTTAAGGACTAAGGGACTTCTGAAGATGGACTAAATACATTATGCATTATGAAAGGTCATGAACTTTTGAAGGCCAGGGAATGGAATGTGGTGATGTGTCTAAGAAATGTTTCCCATAGGCTCATTCATGTGAGTACTTGGTCCCAGCTGTGGCTTACTTTACCTGCTATCCCATACAGCTTCATCAAAATGATATTTAACGTCTTTTTATTGTAGTAATAAGGATACCCCAAACCTCCTTGATTTTTGAGATCACGAAAAATTTGGGGCACATAGTTTAGTATGCAGTAGTTTTAGAGTTAAACCAAACAACGTGTCCAGAGTTGACACTGGATAATAAAAGCAGCAAAACACTGAGAACTTTTGGCCTGAGCAATGGGTTCATACATCTGGTTATACACATGGACAGTAGACAATATAAAGAAGAAAATATAACATCTTTCAATACTTGGGCATTTCACACCCTTTGTGTTTATGTCAAATATCTAATTTGTATGTTTAGAAATAAAATATAAAGCTTCCCACAGACTTTCATTCTATGATTTTACTTTGATATACTTTAGACAAGTATAGAGCCAAAGGTAGGGAGAGCATCTCTTGGTGGCTAGAAGCTCCAAGAAAACATACACTGAGAGGGTTTGTACCACAAATTTCCTCTCCTCTGTTTGCAGAGAAAGAGTAAAAGAATATATGGGAAGTCTGGGGTAGAAATGGCTGTCTTTAGAGGAAGGCATGCTCAGCAATGAATGCTTCACAGCCAGGGTATCCCTCTGGGAGGCAATAACTAACACTTCAAGGAGTGTCCATCATTACAAATATCTTATTGAGACTCTAGAAGAAACAAGAATTCAGATGCAAAGTTCCATGTTAGTGACTATTATTAGCCATTAAATCAGTAAAATGAATAAAGTTCCATGTCAGGGACATAGTCTTTTTTCTTTTTCAGATTTACTGCTGTAATACCATCCCTTAGACAATTTGCCTTGCACACAGTAAATGATAAATGAGTAACTAATGAAGGAAGGAAGAAAGAAGCAATTTGATCATGGTCTCATAACAAAGCAGTGACAGATTTTTAGAATCAGTTTCTTGTGAACTGTGATAAATGCCATTGTTTATGATAAAATAGTATAGGGAAGGTGAATCGGCACTGACGAAAGTACTGGCTGAGAGATAGGAACAAAGCATCAGGACCTGCTCAGAGGGAGTGGTGAGTGGCAGAGAGTGAGCCCCAGCTCTGACAAACCAGTGCCAGCAGCCCTTGTGACAACGTGGGAGTTTTCTTCCAAACCTTACAGTCTATGAAGAAGCCAGAAAATGGAATACACTACAACTAGCCAAAACAACAAACAAAAATCTAAAACCAAAGCAAACCAAAACAACAAAAACCTTGTAGAGATTTAGAACCCAATCAAAATTTACATTTGCAGATATATAGATCTCTAAGTGCATGGCTTCTGCCCTGATTACTAATTAATGAGGTGCAAAACTGCCTGCTGGAAGGAAACAGTGCTGATTATGTCAGTCTTACGGGACAGAGGAGCTCTGTGGTCCCAGAAGGTAGATGATTTTTTTAATATACATTTCAGTAAATTAAAAGAACAAAATGGGGCAGGAGGCTTGTAGAGACTGAAGCAAAAACTTGAAAAAAAGTGTGGACTATCACCCTGAAGTGACTTGAAGAGGCAAATTTCAATTTTGTTATAGATCTTATCAAATACATTTTTTTTCCACAGCAACTGCATGTTCATTTAATCAGCAGACTGAATTCTGAATGGATTCTGATGCAAATGTATTGGTACAATTTAGAGAAAAATGTAGTAAGACAGTCAAAGATGAACAATGTTGAGAGCAAAAAATGATGACCTGTTTCTTAATGGACTACTCATTTTCCATTCATGCTCTCCCCACTGGTTAGGTACTAGGAGTACATTAATACTAGCCAAACCCCACAAGGTTACCAGATAGGGCAATCCCTAAGCAGAGGAAACAGAAAACCATTCTTTGTCACAGTCTTCACAGTTGTTGTTTTCCCCCACAGATAAATGAAAAAGAAGAGTGAAGCATAAATTCCACCAGAGGTACTAAGCATAATGCAAAGTTCCTGGGGTAGCAGCTGTCCACTTTCCAGAGGGAAAACAACTAGAGTTGGTTCCTTCCTCCCCCACCAGACTTGATCTAAAGTAGCAGACATTATTACATTAGAGAGTTGGTTACCACTTACCATTTGACTTTTCACTATCTGCAGGCTTCATCTGAATGGGATGATGCATCTAAAAATATAAAAGTGAGAAAGTAAAGGCAGATTGAACAACTGTAAAACCAGTTTCAGAAGCATGATACTATTCAAGTACTGCTAATTACAAGGACACGTAATTAATAACAAGGCTTTTAAATGGTGTTATTACCTTAGTTTGTTACCTAAACTTTACGTTCAGGAATCTAGCCCTCAAGCCATGGGACACTGGAATAGCACTGAAAAACTTGAACTTTAGAGTCAGGCTGGAGTAAAAACCTGGCTTTGCCATTCAATATAGCTTCCACCTTTATATTATAGGTAATTCTAGCTCTGCAATCACAGCTATGTAATCTGGGCTAGTGTAACTTCTCTAATATAGTCTCTTCATATGCAGAGAAGGATGACCCACACATGTAAAGTGCTTAATGCATGGGCAGGCCCCAGGATGTGTTGAAGAATTTAGAATTATGGCTGTACCACTTAAATGCTGATCATTTTTGTTTGTCTACCAATTACTCTGTTTTCTGGGTTTATCTCAAGTCTCAACAGGAAATATTTGAAGTCTATCAGTGGCTTGATTTAGGTACCAGTATATAATGCAGAGCCACAGGGATAAAGGGAACAATAGGAGCAAGGGCAGGAGAGAGACATGAGCCCATTAATTCTGCTAGTAATATGAAGGAATAGAGAAAACTTGAAACAAATGAGGTTAAGATCCTGAACCATGGCAGACCTGGATGCTCCATGGTTTGTTATACAAAGATGATGACACTGCTGTGTATGATCCAGAGTTTACTCCAAGCACAGAATGCTACCACTATTTCCAATTAAAATAAATTCCTCAAACTACTTCCTAAGGTCCTCTTATTTGATATTTCATCACACCCCAAGGAACAGGGAAGCCACAGGGTGGGTAGAATCACTGGCTGTGCAAAACCTTTTATTATAATGGGTCCACTCTTTGTGAACTTTTAATTTCCCCAGTGGACTTCCATTACTTGCAAGCCACAGCTCTGGGTTTTATCCAATTTAAATGAAAGGGGAATGATACTTAGTTATGGCACTTACATGATGGGTCATTATTATCAGGTAGTGTGTGCACGCCAAATGCACACCAGTGTCTTTAGAATACCAAAGGAAGAAGACAGTGAGAAATAACTGCCAAGTGATAAGACCCTAAGTAATTCAGAGATGTTGTATGCCCTGAAAGGCAGAATGCTTTTATCCATAGAGCATAGGCATCAAGATGCAGCATCTACTAGCATTCCCAACTCATACATTCATACATTCAATTTGTGGAGAAGAGACTACTTGTGGGTGATGTGGAATATTATTTTAACTATGTAAAGATATGCTACATTTGTTTAACTAGGCAAAGATGTGTTGCATTTGTTTATGTTGCATTTTTTAAAATTATATAAAGATGTGCTGTATTTGTTTCACCTTGCCTGCATAAGGTACCTGATTGGTTTAATAAAAAGCTGAATGACCAATATTTAGGCAGTAGAGGGATAGGTGGGGCTGGCAGGCATAGAGAATAAGGAGGAGGAATCTAGGGGGGGAGAGAGAGGTGGGGGGAGAAGGAGATGGGGAGAGGAGGAAAGGGAGAGAAGGAGAGAGGGAGAGAGGGAGGGAGGGAAGTAGGGAGGGAGGGAGGAAAAGAGAGAGAAAGAGAGAGAGAGGGGGGGGGAGGGAAGAAGAGAGAGAAAGAGAGAGAGAGAGAGAGAGAGAGAGAGAGAGAGAGAGAGAGAGAGAGAGAGAGAGAGAGAGAACACAGGGAGAAAGATAGGCAGACTCTGGGCCCAGCAGGCTAGCTAGCCAGGTAGCCACAAGCAAGCCAGACATGGAATAGGGCATAGAGAATGAAAGAAAGGTAAAGAGCTCCAAGGCAAAAACGTAGACCAGGATAAACAGGTTAAATTAAGTTATACGACCTAGTGGAAAAAGCATAAGAAAAGGCTGAGCAGTCAGAACAGTAACTCTATGTCATGATTTGGCAGCTGGTTGGTGGCCCAATGAAAGCTTGCTAAGAATATAATGTTTAGGAGTCCTAAATAGTCCTTAAAAAACACCAAACTGTGGAAAATTCTGATTCGACCAAGGAAGAGGGAAAGAACAAGGTTTAAGGAAGATCAACAGTGTCTGTGAGTAGGTTATCCTTTAGTTCCTTCTGTCCACTCATTTAGTCAGTATGGTTTTCTTGTGTTAGGATCTAGGCTAAGGCCATCTGACTGTCAAAGGCCACAAGAGAGGATTTTCTCCTCACGTGCTGTATGACTGGCAAACAGTGCAAACAGCTAGCAGAGCAACAGGCTTAATGCTGGAGGAGAGGCAGCACATAGTTTCTAGGAACAAGGGACAAAGGACGTTTTACTTTGCCAAGAAAGGAGAAAGTTTCCTAGCAAACATGGTATTTAGTTTCAGTTCTTAGATTTGTTAGCCAAAGAGAAGAAGACAGCTTGTCAAACCTACAGATGTCCCATCAAAGACCCAATGGTATGAATGAACCCATATCTGATACTGCATGTGTGGCCAAGAACCTGAGAAAAGATAGGCTAGGGACCTATGATGGGGAATGTACTGTGTATGTTTATCTTATTGATTGTTAAATAAAGTTCTGTTTGGCTAATGAGACAGCAAGTTAGACAGGACGAGAAGTCAAAGAGGATTCTGGGAAATGTAGTAGAGAAGTGGTGTTCCAGGCAGGAAGTGACATAGCAAGGAGACTCATATTTAAAAAAGGAGAAACAGGAAGTGTCCTTTTTTCCCCTCCACTCTTCCTCCAGCAGCACAATGTAATCCACCGGCAAGAGAGGGTGCCAAATGAAGGCATCCTCTATAAGATAAGTCTTATAAAATATATAGATTTATGATAATTAAGTCTGAGCCAACAGATGAGAAATCCTAGTCATTGGCCAAGCAGCATTTGAACCTAATACAAGTTTCTGTGTATTAATTTGGGCCCTAACTCGGGCGGGCGGCTGGCGTAAAGCGCACATGTGGCGGTGGGGCTTGGGTGGCTTTTGGCGGAAAGATTTATCGTAACAGACCTAGGGGAAAACAAAATACTACTGTCCTGCTAAAGGAACAAAGCAATAAAATGAATCTTAGTGACATTCTGCCATACTCATAGATCAGTGTCTTGCCCAGCCATCATCAGAGAAGCTTCTTCTGGCATTATTAGGGGACAAATATAGAGAACCACAGCCTTACAATTTGCAGAGTGGAACACTCAGTCCTAAGTGGGATGTCTCCATCATATCCACTTTCTCAGAGTTCAGGAGAGCCTCATTTCTAACCTAGAAGCAATCTCCAGTTGATGATCACTTGCAAATGAATAATTTATTTTCTCCATGGAGTTTCAATAGGGATACAACCAAACAAATCTTTATTCTGGGTTAGGGATGGGAACTTGTATCCATTCCTCCTTTTGCCTCTAGCACACTAACAGGTGAAGACCTGTGCAGGCCCTGTGCATGCTGCTTCAATCTCTGTGAGTTTATATGTGCATCCATCATGTTGATTTAAAGGGCCTTGTTTTCTTGGATTATCCATCCCCCTCTGGCTTTTACACTCTTTCTGTCTCCTTTTATTTGATGGAGACAACCCATTTAGGGCTTAGTGTTTCAAGGTCTTTCATTCTCTGTATAATATCTGGCTGTAGGTCTCTATATTTGTTCTCTACCACTTCAGGAGCAAGCTTCTGTGATGATGGCTAAGCTGATATATGAGTATAGTGGAATGTCATCAGCAGCCATCTGGAGCCATTTTGTTGCTAGTGTTGTTTTGTGGGGTTTTGTTTGTTTTTTTACACAAGTAATGTTTGGGATACAAACAACTCTTAAAGGCAGGCCCCAGGCCCAGCAGTAGATGGCCAACACAAAAATCTTCTTCAGAAATTTTTTGTCTAATAATGTTTTGTTAGGGCATTTTTATTTTTAAGTATTACATATCTGCTAACATGTGTGTCTGTGATTCTATATGTTTAGCATGTTTTTTAAGTTTTTCTTCTGTTTGTTTTGTCCTATTCCAATTTGTTTATTTTTCTTGTATGGTTTTCTTGTGTCAGGATCTAGGCTAAGGCCATCTGACTGTCAAAGGCCACAAGACAGGGTTTTCCCCTCATGCACTGTATGACTGGCAAACAGTGCAAACATCTATTCTTTAGATGCCTGTTTGTTTTCTACAGAGAGACAAAAAGGATGTGGATCTGAATAAAAGGCAAGCAAGGGAGGAACTTGGGAGGAATTAGAAACTATAACCAGAATATATTCTATAAAAAACTATATTAAATAAAAGTTAAAAGGGCAAACACCAGTAGTATGAACCATACTACTGGAATCCAGTTGTGGAGAGGAAGGAGGGATGAGCAAAGGAGCCAACATGGGGCTGGAGAGACTTGCAGAAACAGTGGACCTGACCTGCTGATAGCATGAAGACCCTAGTTATAAAGCTGGGGAAACAGCATTGGACCAAACGAAGCCCTCTGAATGTGGGTGCCAGCTAGGAGGCCAAGACAGTCTATGGGACCTCTAACAGTGGAGCCAGTGTTTTTATCCGTAGAGCACAAATGGACTTTGTGAGCCCATTCCCTCTGGAAGGATACTATTGTAGCCTAGATACAGCAAGGAGGGCCTAGGCCCCCCCAAACAATATGACAGATTTTGAAGGTCCCTGGTGGAGGGTCTCACTATCCCTGGAGAGGAGTTGGGGGGTGGGTTAGGGTGGTGGTGGGAAACATGGGAGGATGGGTGGGCGAGGGAATGGGGGATGGATATGTAAATATGAGTAGTAATTAAAGAATGTAAATAAAAAAAAAAGAGCGAACACAGTTCCTTTCCAAAAGGAGTTTATCATGTCAGCAAAAAGGCAGCATAAGGCTGTGATGGTGGTCAGTATCCAGATCTGAGAGTAGTAGTGGTTCTCAACCTGTGGGTCTCGACCCCCTTTGGGGGTCAAATGACCCTTTCACAAGGGTCACCCAAGACCATTGGGAAACACAGATATTTACATTATGATTCATAACAGTAACAA